TTATTTATTCCTCAGGAGGGCAGGTATAGGTGATCAGAGGTCCAGTTCCTATTCTTCAGTTCCTGTGGATAAAGGACTGTGAGTTTGGCACTTTTTCGTGGTTCTAGCTAAGTGACAGTACCACAGCTTTGTCCCTCTGCACTCAGTCCCTCTAAGCCAAGTCCCTCAAGCATGGAAAAGGATCTGCCTCTTCATGTCAGCTGCAGTTAATTTTGTTGCCCGCTGTTGTCTGTGTTAGACTGACCTATAGTAGCATGCCACAGACTGTAGTGCTTTTTCACATGTGTTTGCTCAGCTAGAAAATCTACCCAGGAGTTTCCTGTGTGCCTGCTGCAATATAACCTGGTATTTTGGAGTCTAGAAATGCCTGTGAACTCCTCAGATCACTTCTTCCCACTGACAAAGTATTGTTTTGAGATCCATCTGGTGTCAAGCATAGGCATATGGCACCAGTATGGCAGCGCTGCCTACGGGGGTGGTTGCCTGCAGAAGAGGTCTCGCTGAATGCAGTAGTCGTTGCCTATTGAAAGTCATTATTGTTTAGCACCCAGGTCTTTGTGAACTTGTTCAACTGGTGGCTGGGCAGAGTGCCATCCGAATCTACGGACACGAGCACAGACAGCTGAGTCTCTGGGGCCTTACACACATCAGATGTGGGTCCTGAGGTCAGGCTTCTCAGTAAGGGGAATCTAAATGACTGTGTGTCCCGAGCATGTGTATCTGTGGTTGAAGGGATATGCCATCATTAATCCAAATCTGGGCCAGATTAAGCTTCTAAAATAAAAACCAGCTCTGCCAGCCACTTGAAGGGGGCTCGGGGCCTGTTTGAATTGAGTGCATCAGCGGGGAGGGAGGTAGGAGGCAGAGGCAGCTGAGCAAAGTCACCACCCCCTTACCCCTATAGCGCTTCTCTCCATACGGGCTGAGACGATTTGACAGCTGCCAAAACAGGGGGCCGGGGTGTGCTGCCTTCGTCCCTTCAACTGCAGGGCCTCTCCAAGGGCTGGGCAACACTTAGGTTTCTGAGGCCAGCCCTCTCTTTGCCATGACAAGAGCACAGACATTTCATGCTTTGTTTCTTAGTTACGTTTTCAGCGCGGTTCTTGTAACAGCTGGGAGCAGGAGCTTTAGCATTCAGGGAGCGGGATCGCCCATTTGCCAGACAAAAATCTCAGGTTTACCAGCCTGGGCCTGGCTCCCCCTTTTGCCTGGGCAGTGCTCCCACCTGGAGCTAACTCAGGCTCGCTCATCCTGCCCTTTGAGAGCTGCTCACCTCCGCGGACAGGCAGAGCATGCACAGGGGATGAGGCAGCAGCACGGGCATGGTGGCACTCACCAGAAAGCCATCACCAAGATACAGGAGTAGAAAATCTGGGTGGAAGATCACAAAGCCAGAAGTACCAGAAATACTTTAGTAGGGTTGCTGACAAAGCTAAGGAGAGACAGAAAAAGCTAAATCCAGTAGACTGTATTTGCATAGAGGGAGAAAACACCAGAGCATTAAGCTAAAGTGAATAATTAAATGATTCACTGCACAGAGCAATTCAGAGAAATGAAGGTGACCAAACACTGGGGTTTGCCTGTCTCTTGCGGGTCCTGTCAACTCGCAGACACAGATGCTCTGTGGCACCCATAAAAAGATAATGCTGGGAACCTCCTATTCTAAATGCCGCTTTTATACTGTGGACACTAAACTCCCTGTGGAATTGCCTTCTGACATGATCCCTCTTACATTTCTTTATGCACTGTTGCCATATACTATGAAACTAGCTGCTTCTGTCCTCTGCAACGGGTAACTAAGCACCTACAGTGTATAAAATATGCCTAACTGAAAAACTGGGAAGCTTTATGGTCGTTATTTAGTGCCGTGAGATTTCCCTAGAAAGGTGTGGTAGAAGTGCAAAGAGGGATACGCTGTTATTTTAAAACCTGACCATGCGCTGGTTCCTCCCCCTTTGAAGTCAGTGGCAAGACTCTGTTTTAAAGGAGCAAGACTGCTTGAATCGGCAAACAAGAGGCAGCCTGGAGGCAGAAGAGGCTTACAGGGAATGGCTTCTGCTGCTCTCCTTGAGCACAGAGCTGTTCAGACAGACTGGAGACCTGTCTGCCGCTCTCTCCCATTAAGGCTAAGAAATGAATGCTTTTAAAGTTGTTAAATGAATGGGCTGGATCTTAACAGCCCTTTCTCATCTGAGTGCTGCCATTAACTTTAAGAAAATAATCACTGTATTAAGTGCTATGGAGTGAAGTCCTTAAATTGTTAAATTCTAATATTTGACAGAAGTTTTTTCTCGGTAGAAAAATAATATTGACATAATTAAAAGGATGTGAACATTTCATCAGTTAAAGAATGCAAGTTACTTTGGAGCAATACGTAAAACTAGAAGCAGCGCAGAGGCCTTAAGTCCGTGTCATGTCTGTAGGTTATTTTTGAACTTTATGAAAAACACACTTTAGCAGTTTATATCCTGACCATTCAACTGTATTCTGGGATTCTGAATTCAAAAACATGCTAACCATGAAAACACAACATTTAAAAATACACCGTCCACTTGGTTTTTTGCCCTGCTTCAGAGTCTCCCAAGTTCGTTTCGGACAAACTGAGAACTTTGTTGTGGAATGACTGTTTGAATTGGGGTTTCTTAAAATACATGTGGAGCCTTGTAGCTGCTGTGGGGTGTACACAGTGGTGGAGCTGTACTATTTTAAAATCATCTGGTTATTTCACTTCATGTAAGAATATCTGTCAGCTTAGTTATAAGGAATGAGAGGGGTTGATTAAAACAACTCACGAAGCAATTAAACAAAGAGATAAAATGTAGAACATGTGCTGTAGGGTAGTTTTAATTATAATGTATGGGGGATCTGTGGAAACCGGATGGCAGCTGCATTGTAGCTGAGTTTTAAGCCCCTCTTAGCAGTACCGAAGTCCTGTTGCTCAGAGGTGGGTTTTCTTATCTGTAAAGCTAATAGGTCCTTTGGAAATGGTGTTTGGAAGCTACCTTTTGTTGCTATGACTGACCATAGTGTAATTACTATGCTCAAGTGCTTAGATAGATACGGACTAAAATAAGCAATTATGTATACTAATCATCTAGTCATTAGATACTAGACTATATAACATCAGAGAAATGTATGCAAAAGCTTTAGTCAAGAAGGGAAGGGATCAAAGATGTCAAGTGAACAGCCATGAGAATCCAGAGAGAATGGGGAAGAAAAAAGGTAGTGGCAGCTTATTTCATTGTCTTGGCGATCTTACTAGGTCAAAAAAACAGTATTGAATATACTGCTGTATGCTATAACTATGTCTACTAAGTTAATTTAGCATATAATCTGGCTTTAAACAATAGATATCAGGCAGCCACATGAATTCAGTAAAAACTATTTAAACTTCCCATTTTGCTTTATTCTTATTAACCTAGTTATAGACATCAAGAGTTAGCATAATTACTTCTAGCCATACCAGAAGGGGTTTTAAATCTCTGGTGTAAGACTTCAAACCAGTCTCTAGCCACTAGAAATCAGGATGAGGAGCAGTAAGGAAAGAAGACGACACATCTGCCCACGTCAAAGTTTTTACAACCCCATCCAGTCCTGCCAGAGACAGGGTCATTAGCTAGGTAGACATTGGGTCTAGTTCAGCTTGGCAGCTCCTATGTTCCCAATTCAACAAAGTTTACTCTGCAATGCTTTTTATGCAACTGAAATAAGGTAATTTAGTTAACCCTTTGTCATTGAGTAATATGGGTTCACACATAAGAACATCACCACTTCAAAATATCCAGTCATTAAACTATAACAAAGATTTGTTACCAGAACTCATTGGAAACAGCCAGAAAATGAATTTTTAAGAATGTGACCACTAACAGTGAATTTAACTTTCTGACTGTAATTGCCGCAGCAGTTCAAGTCTTGCTCTGCGGCTTGTAAGCATCACTAAAACTGCCCATGAAAAAATGACATTTGCTTCTGTTTGCAAACTGTCTTTATTAGTATGTGAATTCTCAGGAAATTCTATGAATGCTGTAACTTTTGCTTTCTAATTTGCATAAAACAAAGACATAACATCCAGGACCAATTATATAAAAATGGGAAGTAATTCCTTAGAAAGAGGATGGAGGACTTGAAGGAGTTACAGCTTGTTGCTCTTGGCTGTAGCTTGTTGGCACATGAAGGTGCTGGGGACTGTTCCCTTGAGGACGTCAGATGTTGTATGTTATTTTAAAGAGACTGGAAGGCGGTAGTTGGGATAGATACCCATCTCCGTACTGGCTTGTGGGGCACTCTACCAGATAGCCATGGTAACCGTTACACCAGTCTGGCTCCTCAGCATCCCCAGCTAAAGTAAATGTACAAAGGCAACTCAGCTGTCATTAAAATGAGGAAAAGCTCATTTCTGCTCAGTGTAAGGGAAAGTGTGATTCCCTCTGTTATTAGAAGAGGACCTCTCTGTAGCAGAGAAATCAGTCATCGATCCAACAGTGAGACACGGCTTGTCAGCTGATGCTCTCAAGGCAGCACACCTTGAGGTGAACTTTGGAGGGTCTCTCACAAACTCACCTCAAATTATTTGAGAGTTAAAAGCTAGAAGAGCAATAGGGGAAGAGCTCTCCCTGATGGGAAATCATAGACCAGGATGCCAACCTCTGTTGGGTTGGTATCTGGTTACTTGAAGTTCTCACCTTTGGAAATGAAATTAAGCACTTCCCCATCACTGTCATGGAGAGGTTATCTCAGGTTTTTAGCATCACGCTAAGACTCATCCTCTGGTGCATATTTTCCCTAGGACCAATGGAACGACACATTTTAGAGTCAAAATTAGCTCTTTGCATGTGTCCTATTGGCTTTAGCAGAATTACTGGTGTGCAAGGAATATGAATAGAGCTCATACAGTGATTTCTAAAATACAAAATGCTAATTACAATATGCTTCCTTACGGAGATAATTGAAGATGACTGACCATGTAACCCCTCTCTTCTTCTCTACCTGTTTTACTCCAGTCCTCCGTGATGTCTGTCTGTTTTGCCCGCTTTCACCCAAACCTGGTCGTTGGTGGAACATACTCTGGCCAAATTGTCTTGTGGGATAATCGCAGTCACAGGCGCACGCCGGTTCAGAGAACTCCCTTATCTGCTGCTGCTCACACGGTAAGGGTAAAAATCACCTCCTCCTTTCCTTAGAGGAAATGGTCAGCGGGGAAGTGGAGCTGTCTAGTTGTGTCTACAATGCTGGTTGCCACACAGATGAAAAAAAAGTGTGGCCCTTGAAGGGAAAGAAATAGATAAGAGAGATGTACAGCCACCTCCTGTAACTGCTTAACCATCACACTTCGTATGGTCAGGTCAGGAGATTATCCTCATTTCCAAGGAAGAGGGCAGGATCAATTACAACACTTGAGTGAGGGACCTTTGTGCCAGCACTTGTGGCACTGTGACTCTTGCTCTCCATTGCCTGTAAAGAGAGCCAGGTCACTATAGGGACTGTGTGTCTGTCAGTCCAGCATAGCAGGCAATTTGAATCATTTATGTTGTCTTGTACACAAGTTTCTCTTTTGAACCAGATTAGGCACCTACGGTGGTCTCAGTGGAGTCCTGTAAGTAGGCACTGGTGCCCTTGAAAAGAGTGTGGCAGTTTGCTTCTGTTTTCCAGTAGAGCAATACATAAATGCCTGTCATGGTCTCCTACTCCAGACAGGGCCATAGGGCAGAGCTTTCACAGTGAGGGGGAGTTTGTTTCAATAGAATGATGTGGAAGAGCATTTTGCCAACACACACAGATACCTGCAGATATACTGATGGTGGCACAGGGCTCCAGTGATGCCTGGGAGATACACAGGCAGAGCACTAGCACAAAACGCCTGAGAAGGAAGAGAGTTTTTCTGTGATACAAAGATGATGGTGGTGGTAGAAGACTCTCTTACATTGCAAAGTAGTCATATTGTGCCGGAGGAAGAGACAAGCCTGGATTGCCTGCTAAAGTGTCCTCACTCTGCTATGGTGCTGACCTCCAGTCCATTCTGCACTCAGATGTTGTGCAATCTTGAGCTCTCCTCTTCCAGAGTTTGGGCTCAGGCAGCCTGTTCATAAGAGCTGGAAGGTGTACTCTGTGGATGGTAAACATACCTCATCTTGGGAGTGGGCTTGAGACCATTCCTGAGTGGGAAGCGGAAAAGAAAATACAGGCTGAAAGGAGGAGAAAAATGTAATATTATGATATAAGAATGCAGAAAAATGCAGATTTCCTGCCACATAAGAAACTGAACTACACAAAGCACTCTGAGAGATAAGATAATAATCTTGTTCTAGCAGAGCGAAGGATCAGACAAAGTGATAGGTCTTTTGCACCTCCAGCTTTTACAATTCTGCGATTCTTATCTTTGGAATTTGCAGATCAAGGTTCAGCTTTTAGTTGACTGTGACAACATAATCCCTGATGTTAAAAGACAACTCTAGAAGCCGTGCCACATGAATTAATGCAAAAGATTCAGCGTGGGGCCAGTATTATGATGGCAAGTCTCTTATATTAAAAAATGACAGGTGTGCACAGACACGCTTAGTGGGCCAGGCAGTACAAATATTGTTCCCTAAGTTTCCACTATCATGAATGTTGATGTAATAATCTCATGATATGTGCCATGGGTTGCAACGTCAACATTGCTTTTCATTTCCCTAATGTTTTTGCTCATTTTGTCACCAGTAATGTTGTTCAATCTGCATGCAAAGAAACAGTCTCTCTTGGAAGTGCAATTTAGAGATGTAGCAGACCAGAAAACTAGTGGCAAGAAGCTGACTATCACTGAAAATTGAACAACTGGGACTCAAAATCTAGTGGAAAAGAAAAGATTAATGGGAAGTAATTTGTTTACACTCAAAAAACGTTAAAGACAAAATTGTACCTCCTGGAATTATATATTAAACTAGTTTTATTATTGCAATAGAACAATATGTGATGTTTTGCTTTTGACAAATATAAATAAATGACTTTCAGTTGTGGATGGGCACTTTATGTGCTGTCATGGATTGGTATAAATAAGAGTTTACACAGTCTAATGTGAGGAAGCATGATGTTTTTAAGGAGTGATCAGATTTTACAGTAAAAGAGTGCTTACTTTATGTTCATATATAGGAATCACTGTAAACGAAGTCTTGATTGCAAAAGTCTGGCTTGAATCCTAGCTGCCAAGAGAAAAAAAAAAAGGAATAAATTAAGACAACTCTGCTGTAGCAATGTTTCTTTATGTACTGCTAGATACGTGAGTTGAATAGTCATTTTTTAATTTGAACTTATGCCATATGTGAAAATGGATTTTTCTCTTTTCTTTCTCTCGCTTTGTTTATTTGAAACAGATAGAGTGTATTGTTATCACTGACTTAAACCTCCCTGAAGTTTAGTATCACTGATTGCCGCCTGGATTCACCAGGAAAGAGAATTCTACCCGCAGCTTACTCACTAATTTCCTTTCACACCCACCACACATCTGCACTTGGGACAACAGGAAATTTTTATTAAGACAAAGCCCTTTTGCATGACGATTTCATTTCCAAAATAAATAAAAGCAAGCTGGCAGCAACCCTTTGAAAGGAAGGAGCTTGTTTAGACTTTCTGTTACATACAGTTGGTTGTCTTTTTCATCCATTTTCCTTACGTCTTTTCATTTCTGCCGTGAGTTTTATTGTGCATGAAATTGATGGCTGGTAGCCCTGATTAAAGCCAGACCTGGCACACTGAGGTGCTGCTGGAAAGACATGGCTCGCTTTCTCCCTCCCCCGTAAATATTTTAGATACTCCGCTGCTTGTTTTAGCTTCCTCCCGCCCACTCTGTCCCTGTCTGTTTGCACTACTGGAGGTCAAACGCCCATGAAAAAATAGTTCTATGCTTATTTCTCACATCAGTATGTGCTAATCATGTTTAGCACTGGGGTCATTAGCTCACCACTAAACGGCAAGAAGGTCCATCGTACGAGGGTAATAGTGTGAGACACGAGGGACAGATGGGGGTCCATTTCATGATCTGGGGGAAACCAGGTGCCTGACAATCTTGAGAGAAAGAGAAAAATCAGCATCAGAATGGACCTTGCGACTTACTGGTGCGTACAGGTGGCCTTCAAGCACAAGGTACCATTTCAGCAGCAATTGCTGAATCCTTCTTCGGTGTGTGCACACACACACTGTGCATTCAGATGCTGCCCTTTTTGCATTTGGGGAAGGGGCATTTACTGGGCCTGCTCAGGTATCGAACCCGAGAGCTAGCCAGTGCTCTGAAGATTTCTGCCTTTCCCTACTGACTGGGTAGGTGACCTGCAGCTGGATCTTAAAGTAGTCTAAAATAAGTGGTAGTTCTGCCATTCCTTTCAGCAGGAGCAAATGCTAGGTTTCTAATCCTACATGGAGCTGGCTTAGAAGCTCTATAGGGATCTCTTGTAAGTTGGTCCTAATTTTCTTTAAATAAGGAAAGTATTAGTGAAAAGTATTTTTTCTTCCTGGAGATGCAGATCTTCTATTCATTGGCAAAAGAGGCAGAGAAATACAATTTTTCTTTGCTTGACTTGTATATATCTTACCCTTAATTCAGCAGTATCACTTGTACTGTTTAAAGGAAATTAAATCTTACTGTTCAGTCTGACTGATTTTTCACTCTGGAGATTGCTGAACTTGAACCATCCCTCATATGTCACCATCAGATATCAGATGACAGTTTAGGCTCAAAATGTTACCAGGTTCCTTGGAAAAGGAATAGGCCAAGTTTCATTATTGCATACTAAGTGGGATTCAGCCTCCATGGAATGGCTATGCTATGGTGAACCAGGTGTAACACCCTAAATTTAGTCACTCCACATTTATAATGACAGATTTAAAAAGGTATATTGGCCAATGCTGGAGAACGCTGATGGGCTTGTTCATGTTTTTCAGCTGGAGTACATTTGCAAATATTTAGCATGCAAGCCAAATTCTGGAAAAGTTCAAGTTTTATGCAGCTGTTTTCTTGAATAAAGTTTTCTTTTTTATTCCATTTGGATAATTTGCCTCTTTCTGCCAGTTATTTTCAGTGTCAAAAGCCATCAGTAGAATGATATGTGTCCCTGTGGGTGAAATCTCATCCACATAATTCAGTATTTTCACAGCATTACTCAGCTGGGTTGTTTTATTATGAGGAAAATGAAACTTTGAAAACATTTCCACTTCCATAACATACCTCTTAAAATTTAAATTAAAAAAAAAAACCCAAACAATTCCTATCTGGCAAAAGCCGAGGCCTGTATTTTCCAGGCACTATGTGACTACTTAATCATTCTTTAAAATAACATATGAGACATTAGAAATTTGTTCGTGAAGATGTGAGAACGGCTCTCTGATTTCCAGTGTTACTGTGTTTTCAGCATCCTGTGTATTGTGTGAATGTAGTTGGAACACAGAATGCGCACAATCTCATTACTGTCTCTACGGATGGCAAAATGTGCTCCTGGAGCCTGGACATGCTCTCAACTCCACAGGTGGGTTTGTTTTCACCTATACAGGGAAAAAAAGCACCTTCAGTAGAGCAGAATACCTGCTTAATGGAACATAGCTCCTAAAAGCCAAAACCTCACGTCCTGTACAAACTAAAACCAATGGATGCACTTGAAAGAGTACAGCTTGCTTCCAGCAGTCTCTGCTAAGAGCCAAAACCCATTTCCTTTACCACAAATCATGTAATTATTGTAATACGTTAATACATAGGTCAGTTTCAAGTGAAAATGAAATAATCCATTTTAAAGCACGGTAATTACAGAAGTCGCCTGTGGTATAAATTGTACTTACTCTACAGCATTGTTTAACAAATATGGACTAGATTGCACTGCTGCTGAACACACCCTAGACACTACGGGTTTCCAAGGCACGCAGTCAGAAAGCTTACTTTGCTGCCTGCCTTCAGTAGCCAAAGGAACAAACAATGCAAATCAAAAGTTTTAGAACTAATTTCCCCCTCTGGAATGTTTGCTACTATTGTCTTTTCCCCCCTCCTCTCTGTTGTATCAGAAATGAAAGGAAACCCAGGAAAATTGTCCAAACCACTAGTGATTATAATAATGAAAACTAAACAAAGACTCTGATGCTGAAAAAGGTCTACGGAAAGCATCTTTTAAGTGTTATCTTCTGGAGTAGTACATTTTCTATCCCAATGCATCACTCATTTTTTATACATAATTTCTTAGAAAAAAATAATTTAATATCATTTTTACTAAGCATCATGGGATCTGATCTTGTTTCAAAATGCTGCGTAGAAACTCCTCTTAATGATTCCATTAATCATCCATTAATCATGCATTAATGTGCAATTACTATCAAATTATTTGCTTTTCAGTGTTGACACAAGAGGTGGGACTCCTCTATCCTAACCTTAGCCGTCTAAAGTTAGGTGCGTGTCAAGTCTAAGCTAGTAATTTGAGTTCCCTTTACAGTTAATGTAGAGAGAGACTGGGCACTTCTGGAGGACGACTCATCCCATTCCAGTGTGAAATACCATTTCAGATACCCACCATGGGCTACAGAACTGTCAAATGTTAGGATGGAAGGGGCTTCTGGAAGTCAGCCCATCTACTCCCCTACTCAAAGTGAGATCATGTTGCTCACGCTCATCTAAGGCAACAGTATGGGTCTGGTAGTTGTGTCCTGGGACTATGAGAAACCAATACTCTTCTGGAATAGAAGTGGAGGCATCTAAAATGGCCCAGACATCTATGTTTAGGCACCTGAATCCCTTCCCCAGTTTCTCACTTAAACATCAAGAAGATAAATCCCACCCTTATGCATTCACTTACTGGAATACTGAATTTTGAAGCAGAGATTTGTGAACATCTCAGTTCCAGTACTTCATCACTCGGATGGAATTTCCGTGCTCCAAAACTGCCTTTCAACAAGGATGGGAACACACCCCACATTACGCTGAAGTTTGGCGCATGGCTCACGGTGATACAGAAAAGAAAGGCACAGGATTTGATGTCAAGCTACATGCCATAGCTTTAAATTGGGAGGAGCAGAGTGTTGCTGATGTGCATCAGTCGGAAACTTTCCGAAGACACGCATCCAGAGCACTCGTGTACAGCTATGGTGTAGGTGCTGGGAGGAGAGGGTCCACCACAGTATCTGGCTGTGTCTCCACAAAGACACTAAATGATGATCTCACCTCAGAAGATTTTCACAGAAATATATGGTCCACAAGTGCTCTGCCGATGCATTTTCCAGGTCGTGGTTTGCCTTTTTAGTAGAACCAAATGTATTTCGAAGAAAAGTATAAACCAAGCAAAAGTATTTCTCTATGGGTTTGCAGCCCTCTCCTCTCACAGAGATGCCCGCTTTCTTTAGCTACAGCAAAAAGCCCTTCTGAGAAAAATGCTACAGGCTTTGGCCCTAGAAGAATAGCAGCTTAGACATTTTAAACATAGAAAACATACCCACTTAAATAGCTAAAAATGAAAATTGCTAAATCATTCAACCCCTTTGTGGATTCTTGGGTTACACCATTTAGGCTGAACAACCAAAAAGTTGTGCAAAATATGCTCAAAGTGTACCCATCTTGCAACGGCCACAAACTGTTCATGCTGGTTGTACTTGCAATAACAAAAATGGGCATGCTGATTTACTTTGAAATATAGCTACCAAATGAAAAAAGAAAATACGCTTGCTGGTTTGTAGCTTGATGGTGGAGTCTAGAGGGAGTGTTTATGGTTACCTCAGAAAATCCCTGAAAAGCAATGCTTAGAATGGTGGTAGTGACAGGACCCCAACTTTTTAGTTTTGTTCTGCAAAGGGACAAATGGCACAGTCTGATAAATGCCTCAGGTGCACATGACACTACCTGTGTTTCCTGACAAACAATTGATTTAAAACATGTTTATAAATAGAAGGGTATTGCATGTTTTATTAGAGCCTGAGGCTGGCAAGTGTAACCATTAAGGTATTATCTTTAGTTTCTGCACCATTAGATTTTAAATTCTCACCTGTCATCTCTGCCTGATTTAAGATGATGTAGCAAAGACCAGTGCCTTCCAGCTGCTCTCAAACGTGTGACAGACAGTGGTGGGGATAGCAGGAGCAGTGCATCCTAGTTTGTGACATTGCATCTTCTCGCAATGTCCTATGCAGAAACCAAAGCCCTGTGGCTGGGTCAAATGATTTCTTCTTTCCCTCCTGCTACCATGTGTAACATTTAGAAATTAATTAGAAAAAAAAAAACAAACAGCCAAACAAAAGGATGATTGCAGAATAATAACAAAGACCTGTTTTGGTAGGAGAGCATGGAGCTGGTGTACAATAAGTCCAAACCAGTGGCGGTTACAGGAATGGCTTTCCCAACCGGAGATGTCAATAACTTTGTCGTTGGCAGTGAAGAGGGAACAGTCTACACAGCCTGTCGCCATGGAAGGTGATGTTCAGCATTTTGTACTGAAATAACATTGTGTACCTGTGTTGGCGTGAGGTAGTCAAGTGTGTGTGTGGAGTGTTTCACGGTTTTTCTCTTGGATCAACGGTGTCTGTACTGTTCTACTTCGCACAACTAGGACAGGAGTCGCCTGACTTTGAGCATCTGTGCTACAGCCTGTTATACTGGGGTAGTTGCCCCAGGCTCCCTGCGTGGTTGGTGGGGAGCAATGACTGCTCTTAGGGTTTGATTTCCTTTACCTTTTTCAGACATCTGCCTGAAGAAGAGATGACTGGGACCTCAGAAATGCCTCTTCCTCACCCGTGAGGTGAGACGGAGGTCTAGCCAGCTAGCTGAGATGTAGGTATCTATGTCTGGGCAGGTCAAATCAGGCCCTAGGAAACAGTTTTGTTGCAGGGTAATCAGGCCTAAACCACTCATAAGAGATGGTAATCCACTTTATTTTTTACTATCCTCAGCTCCATCTTCAGTTTCCACAGGCATATATCAGAGAAGAGCCACCATGGGCACATGCGCGTGTGAGAAACAGAGCGTGCATGTCCCAGTGCACGGCCATCCAGCAGCAGGTATTCCCACGCAGCACTGCAGGCTGCGTCTGCATAGCCAGGCTAGAGACTGAGCCCTGCTGGCCCCCGCTCTCGGTGGGCAGTTTGGACATGGCCACCCTCTCCAGGAGGGCAAGAGGGTTTTGTTGTACAGCCAGGAGCCATGCCACACTGTTTGCCCTCAGTCTGGGCTGCCGCCTGGTTTATTCGCTAACACGGATGTAGCCGCAGTGTGCCACACAGGTACACAAGCTCTGGCTGACCTGCTCCCAGGACTGGTACCCTGTGCTCTCTCACACATGGTGGTCATATCCCTTCTCCGCATAACCCAGGCTGTAGTTTAATACTGCAAGTTCCTTATTTTGCACCCCGTAAATCTGCAGGATGCTAGCGTGCTCTGTTAGTTTCTGGTAGTAGTTTCATCCTCTGGGATGCTTGAAAGGCTTTTGTAAAGAACAAACTTTTTTCACTGATAGATTTAAAGCTCACCCCCACACTTCAATAGTTTGCAATATTCTCTGAATTCATATTTTATCATATTCTGTGTTTCTGTTGACCAAATAGACATCGATACACTGGTTTAAGATTGTAAGGCTTCTATTACGCATTCCTAATGTTGTATAAATACTGTTTTACATATATTTTGTTCAATGTAATTTTTATTTTAAAATATTTTTATTTTAGCCTGACTGCTGACAGTATTGCAAAATTGTGTCTATTTAGGCATTATACTGATAGGCTGCGTGGCAGCTGATGGTTTGAATTAGTCTTAGGCTGCTAGGATAAATGAAGCATGCCCAAGGGCATTTCTCACTTCTGATCTTTCAGACATGCCTTGTTTGTTCCTCACACAAGGAGGAAGGTGCCAGATCCTCTTGTTAGCCCACCTTTTTAGCAAACCTTCTGCTGACCATCAACAAACACACTCCTTTTCTGCTGCTGCCTGTCTTTCCTAGAGCTTTTTGCTATCATCCCCATTTTATTTCCAGAGGCTCCTGTGTCCTTCAGCCCAGCACAGCGGGGAGCCATATGTTACTCTGGAAAAAGGTGTGTCAAAGCACAGCAGATAGATACACAAGATGTTCTCAGTGCTCCAGAACTCCCCTTATCCAGCCAACTACATGGCAGACAGGTGGGGATAAAATAAGAGGTGTGCTTTGTACCCAGCACTGCAGAGGCACTGCAGAACTCAGCCCCTGTGAGTTCTCCAGCACATGCTGTGAGGTCTGGCAGGGGAGCCTAAGTGAGGCCTCACTGTCATGGTCAACAGGAGAGGTGAGGGGACACCACACTAGCAATATGAGGGACCAATTTCCTCCAGTGCACCTCCTCACCTCTTTGGGTACGCTGTATTCACACTGGAACAGGGCTGGCAGCCTCGTCAGAGCTGTGGCTATTTTTAATGTATTTTCTTCCATTGGCAATTTTTCCATAATGTAACTAAAAGGGTAATTTCATTATTCCCCTTTCTGTATACACTGTGAGACAGCACTGACAACTGATCTGGTGTCATTTGCTTCCAGGAAGAAGAAAACTGCACACATTCTCTCTTTCTTACACAGCGTTGTATTTTTCCTTCCTAATAGCTATTCTAGCCCCAGGCTGATGAAATGCACATCTCCCCTTGTTCAAAGTAATGACTGTATGATACCTGATCACAGGAACAGTTCCTTCACTTTTTGTGAAAAAGGATTTGCTTCCTAGTGACTTGATTGACTGCTGTGGAAAGTTATTTTAGATATTTAAGAGAAAAGAATTGCTCATGATAAGTCATTAACATGTTTGCATTTTTATTTTAATGGTTATTCCTTGTGATAATGGCTTACTCAGAGGCATAAGCTATAGTATAATTGTAATTTAGAATTATTTTATAATTATACATAAATGTTATTTCAAGCTACAGTAGTAGACAGTGTATGTAAAAGTGACTAAGGCAAGTCTTCAGAAGTAAGAGAAAGTCTCCCTGTGCTGGATCCTGAGCATTGACTGTGCCCACAGCAGTAAACCTCTGCAGGCAAAGGCCTTACTGAAAGGAGACAGATTTACAGATTAAATGGAACTTTAAAAGGAAACAGGAACCTAAGAGTAAAGAAAAATAATGTTAAATCACCAGATGTCAAATCACCAGATATTAAATCACTCTCTGAATGCAAATGTCTCTTCTTCCTGCAGTAAAGCTGGCATTGGTGAAATTTTTGAAGGCCACCAAGGACCCGTCACAGGAATCAATTGTCACATGGCAGTGGGTCCAATTGACTTTTCCCATCTCTTTGTCACATCATCATTTGACTGGACAGTCAAGTTGTGGACCACAAAGGTGAGAAATCCAAGCTGGTGTGGGGTGGATAATGCTACTTGTGAAAATGCCGTTGTCAAAAATATTTCTGTATTGTCTATATCAAGTCCTAAGAATCAATTAATTGAAAGGCTGTGCTTAGAATAGGCATAGTGATAAAATTGTAAGTAAAATATATACCTAGTGTAACTGTGTCAACCATATTCACCTTGGAGTGTACCCTGCCCTTTAAAGGTAGCTTCAGCTGGCCTGCACTTCAGTATTAACCCGAGCACTGAGCAATTTCACTAGGCAAAGAGATTAGGATGTCTTGTACTGCAAGTCATCAAACAATCCATCCAGCACTCCCTGTGCAGGCTAAATTGCAAGGCTAATACTATGCACCATGTTGGTGCAGCAGCAGGAACACTTTCTTCTGATGAAGCAACAGGGGAAGCACACTTACGACTTAATGCAATCAATATCACTCGTGAAATTCATTGCTGTAGGAGGTTGTGATAGCCAAAAAGTATAAATTGTCCCAATGACATTAGACACTGATGGCTGGAAGCACGGAGAAAATACATGCTGGAACTTACATTCATGACCACCATGGATCTACTGCTGACTACTCCATGGCCGAGTCGCCATGACCTCTTACAGGGAGAGCACTATGAACAGCAGAAATGAATACACAGTCCTGTGAAGCTTTGAAACCCAAACACCCCACAGAACTGTATGAATATAGGGTAATGACAGCATGAGTGAAAACTGTGGGACAGACTAAACAGACCAACCTCTTTCATTGTACAGGCCGAGTAAAACAGGAGAATGAGAGGTAAAATCCTAATTATGTAAGTCATCTAAACAGTTATTTTTGTCATACACCAGAGTAGAGAACTGCCTTCCAAATGCCAGGCTTTTGTTTTAACCATGTTGTTATGTCTGCGTTTGGTTCACATCTTGAGCTGCACCCGGCAGAGTTCCAGTACTGGAAGCTGACCCCAGTCAGGAAGTATCTCAGCGTGTATTCCTCCAAGACATCAGGGCTTGGAGATGCTCGGACAGATGCACAGCAAATGTAAATACAAAAGTGATCAGAAGGGCTCATGTGACAGCCTTGTGCTGGAAACAGAAGCACAGTTATCTAGATAGTAACTTGAATCAGCTTCCATAGTAGCTTCACAATGCATTTGTGAATGGCCTGATCCAACATGCATGCAAATTCACAGGTATCTTTTCCTGATCAACAGTGCCACAGCTGACGGTTTTGTCTTGAGCGTTACATTTTAGGAAGCTCGTTATAAGAAAGGTGCATGATTTACCTAATTCGCATGTAACCATATACATCAGTGGACCCAGCCTTAACCAATGCAGAAGTGGTCCAGGGGAGTGGTCATGGGCAGGCTGGAATGGGTCTGGGATGGGTCCTAGGTGGTAAACGTTAGAAAGGGCTGCAGGATAACCAAGTGATGGAGAGCTTAGGTGTTAGCTGGTTGGGGCTGGCTAGGCTGTTTGGTGTCTGAGATAAGGGAGTCCTGGACAGTGGCAACTGGTGGCAAGGGAATATTGAGGGTGGAAGTTGAAGCCGAGTAAGGGGAAAAGAATTTGTGGAGACTGGGGGGAAGATGAAAGGCAGGTACTGAATTCCAAACATACATGTCCAGAAAAGTCTAGGATGAGTATCTGACCCTCAGCTTGAGGTTGAATATGGTAATAAGGGTCTCATCCATCTGCAGCTTAAATGAAATTATATTAAGGGATAATAAGGCCTGTTTTTTATTTTAAACTCCTGGGATTTTAGAAGTTAGCAGTAACACTAACACAGCATATATTGGGCACAAAGACACTGCAGTTAGCAGTACACAGGTATCCTTGTGGAAGAATTCAGTGCCAAAATGGTTAGGTCAGATTCTGTTCAATACAGTCAGTTTTCAAAGAACCAAACCATTTAAATTTCTAATTATCTATCAAGCTGTGGCTCACCTGGCAAGAAGGGCTTCCTGAGAAAGCTGTTTGACCTAGCTGATGTGAGCTGTGACATGCATGTGACACACCACAGCACCACTCAGAGCTGGAAGCCGCGTTGCTGTATTGGATCACTTGCTTTCTTCTGGAGCAAGTTTGAGCAGCAGCAGCCCCAGGCTGCTGCACTGCCAGCCACTGCCCTGTGAAGACATCCTCTGAGACACTAGACAAGTTCTTGAACTGTGATGAATGTTTTCTTTTTCTTCCAATTTGACTCCGGCAGAAGTTTCTTTCCATACTGTCTGGACAATTCTCTTGGCTGGAACTATTACATGTTTAGGGCTCTCCTTGTTCAGTTCCCATAGTCAGGGCCCAGTCAGTCAGTGGGCTTTGAATAAACCCATCAGCATGTTTGATCCTCTGAAAAAAATAGTGGATTGATATGAAGCATTGAGTGCTACTGCTGGTTTATGAGAGTTTACTCAGAATTGTTTTATTCCTTTGGTTTCTTATCTGTAAATTTAATCTCTCTATCAACATCCAATGCCGTATTGCTTTCCTGCTTCTCCCAGCGTTGTCTACTTAATCCTGTGCACATTATCCTCTTTGGTCATGAAATTCAATTCCTTTCTGTTTCACAGGTTCAGAGTCAATGTCCAATTGTAAAGTGAACCATAAAAGCCCTGTGTTTATATTGTCTATTGATGTTGTGTAGCACCCTGGGGTGCTTACGAGAAAGGCACTTTCATAGCAGGCATTTGACTGATGGATTGAAAGCACCATCTCCCTTAAAATCTGGCTTGACATTTTATAATCTGTTTTTGTGGTTAACACATTTTCTATCCAAAGGCAGTTCAACAAGGTGACTGAGAATGAGGTTTTCACTAGCGGAAGAATGAAGGTTTTGTAGATAACACTAATACAAGGTTCACATTATCACCCATCACATTAGCCAATAATTAGATCCCTGGGTGAATAGTAGGCCACCAGAAGCAACAGGAAAAGAAAAGGAATTTGCAAAGATAGTCACTTGATAGCCAGGGCATTAGCCGGTTCCTGATGAAGTCAACAGGGCTTTCAACTTGAATTCATGCTACACCATGTGAGCAAGTCTTGGATGCAGAGCTGTCAAAGGGAAGTCCTGATGTGAAGTGTCTGCGGAGCTCTGCCCTTAATTAGGTATTGTCTGTATGATGCTTTGAAGAGGTAAAGTGCTAAGTGGAAGTGCTAAGTGTTGTTAATTAATTAAGCACTAATCCTCATGAACGAATAGCATGAGGTTAAATAATGAAATGTAAGTATTGTTGTTATTATTACAGCAATTGCTGTTTGGAGTGTGAATTTTTAGATATTGTGTCAAGGGACAGGAGCTAGCTTGGAATTGTTAAAGCATAGCAAAACATAAGCTAGTTTCAGCTGAAGCCTAGAAGATGGCTTGTTTGCTGCTGAGGGAGTTAATAAAGGTCTGGATAGAGAGCTGGATTTTGTTAGCTCTTTCATCCTTCTCCTTTATCTCTTATCCTTCCATTGAGGGGAGGTGCTAATGACTGTTTTTCTTCTCTTGCATCTATGCCTAAGTCATGCTCAGATGGGCAGTTGACTAGAAGAGAGACTGGAATAACTGTAACAGCATTGCTGTATCCCCATCCATGCTTATCTCCCTCTTTGCCTAATGTTTAAGTAATGGTGGTGAGTGCCATAATCAGAAGGAGGGACAGAGGTGAGCAGACTGGTAGTAGGGCCACCACATAACCATTAGCAAGGACTAATTGAGCCAGAGGACATGTGTGCCTTCAGTGATAGACTACCTACTTTTCTGTCCGTGCTCAGTTTTGCCTTACTAGCATGTGCATCAATGGTAGCTCCTTCCTAATCCCTCTCCTTTGTCTTCTCTTTCTTATGCTCTTCACCTGCTGCTCTGCTCTTTTGGTGTCCTGTGTTGTTCCAGTCTGCAGTCTTTTGTGCTTTTTGAGAAACCACATTTTAAACAGCAAAAATTCACATTTCTATGCTATGTGCCTTCACGTACATTTTTGTACCTTCAATATCTTATGCCCATCTGTTTGCTTGCTGTTTATCTTGGTATGATCCAGTCCTCCTGACTCTTGGAGTAAATTATTTTACCTTGCACTTTCATACCTTCCTATCAGCATATAACTTCAAACTCCACTAGTTTTAATTTGGTCTAGAGGTTGAACACCGTCTCCTCAGAGGTCAAGCTGAAGCCTATCACTAGAGCAATGCAAAGAAGCATGTGGTGGTGGTGGTAAAGATAGGTACCTCTACGCCCCCAATCCCCTTCCCCAAAAGCCTAGCTGATAGGATCTGATAGGATCAACTTGATAGACCACACTTACTGTGACGGAAAATGGTGTAGAACAATGAATCAGAGCATTACATGATTGTGTGGATTAGTCACCAAGAAAACAATGCACTCACAAATGGGTAATTTTTAAAGTTTACTAAAATAAACTTTAGTTAGGGTCAGGTTGTCACTTTTTTAAGATTAAGAACTTACTATTTTTTACATTACAAATACCATGTATCAAGATACCTGGTTACTGGCTCAGATTTTTTTCTAGTATAATTTCAATCACATTAAGTGGGTGAGTGAGAGCCTCTTGTGTTATAGATAGCATGGCCTGAAGTTAAAGATACAAATAGAAATGTAGTCAAACATGTAGTCATGATAAAAGGACAGTAAACTTAGTGAACTGTTACAACAACTTGGTGAATTCTCCCTCATGAAAATTGTTTTAACTGTAATTGGAAATGCTGGAGTCAATGACTTGATTTAGTGAAGTCCCATGGCAGGTGATCAGAGTGGATCACAGATTAGAGACACTAATGTTAGTGGTTAATGGTATATAGCCCAGTGGTTTGGGCACCAAGCCACGCTGCAAAGGTCTGCCCGAGTAGGACTGGAACATGGGTCTTCCCCAAGGGGAGGAAGTGCTGTGATGATCTTGCCATTTTGCTCTGAGCTGTATCTTGTGCCTGTGAACAGCTCTGGTCTCTCTGAAAGCAGGATCTTCTAAGAGTAAGGCTTATTTATTAATGTGCTGACACTTCCT